CGTAGTAGTTGTAATAGTAGTAGCCTCCTCCTGTTCCACTTCATAGTCGAGCCCTTCTGGAGCCACAGTAGAGGTTGTAGGTGCTGCTTTTGAGTACTTTGGGCCGCGCGTCAATAAACGGAGCCGGTTCATCTATAGATGACTCATAACCAAATAAACATGCAAGAAATGAACAAAAAGCAGTGGTGAGGAAACAAACAAAGCATCGGAGGTTTTCAAATCTCAAGCCATTCCTTGAGTGCTCCTTTCAAAGAATTTTCTTCGTTCTAGGATTGATAAACTGGTGTTTTGCAGTAAAGTCTTTGTTTTAGAAAGGTTGGCACGTGAAAAAGAGCCCCCGTTTCTCTGCTTCTTTTTTTTGCAGACCTGTCCGAGAGGAAAGTAAGACTGCACCCATGAAAGTAATGAAGCTACCGAAGATACTCATGCAAAGAAGGAGCAATATTATAACGAAAAGAAGTCTATGAGCATGGGAATTCTATGCGAACCCTTGTTGTTGTCTCTGCCGGTTCTTCTTCACCGATAATTGTCGAATTGAGAATTCCCGTCTGTGTGTTGCAGATTGCTGTCGCATAACACCTCGAAATCATCTGAATACAACGAATGAGCCGGAATCGAAGGGGTTGTAAAGTTACCCACGAGAAAAAGCGTTTATAATTTTTTCGCTCATTTTCACCACATCTACATCAGGCGGAAGCAAACGGACCCTTTAGACCTCTTCACAGAAGGTCAATTCTCAATTTGCACTTGGGTGCCCAGCACTTCTAGCCATGGTAAAGGCTTCTCAGGTGGGTCTGAGCCCGGACTTCGCCTTTAACTTTTTGACGACTTCCGGTGTGCATGCGTTTCTTTTTACATGTTATTCATCGTTAGTCATTAAAAACAACTTCATTATTAGCGAGAGCACATTGCGTTGCAGATCCGACATTGTATATAAACAGTTTCGAAACCTACAAGTGCCAAATAATTCATCAAGAACGAGTCTCCTCCGAGTGAATGTGTTCCCCACCGGCGACCCACACGGTCGTCAAAGGGTTAAAGAGATGAGTAGCTATGGCCACTCTGTCGCATTTAAACATTTAATACCAATATCCTCACAGATGGATCCGGATTAGTTTTTGATTAGAAACGTATGTAGTGGGGTAACTTGATTTTGCAAGCTATGGTGAGCTCTAAACCTTGGAGGGGTGGAGAACTCGGGGAAAACGCAAACTCTGCACTCCGCGAAACCCTCTCCTAAGGTTTTGTCCTATAGCTGAATGATACTTCCTTCCGCGACCCGCAAAATAAAGGTGTTTCACCAATTGGTTTCCCATTTTTCTTCTGAATGCATTACATTTCTTTTCGCCCTGTATAAAAAAAGGGGGGCGCCGAATATGGAATGCCTATACCCTTGAACGAAACCAATGTCTAGTGCCTGAATATTGGAATAATTGGAATGAAACCTCCAGCTACGTTACAATATAATAATAAGGTTAGTGAGCTTCAGCACTATGTACATCTTGATATCTGGTATATGTTACTTAAAGGCACAACCCAGGCAGAGGTCGTGTGAACGCTTCCCTTCGGTCTGTAGTATAGACCCTAGAGGACAATCACAAATGTGGCGTTCCGTGCACGGAAACCAACCGACAAGAGCGCTTGGGCCTTGCAAAGTAAGCTGCTGAAGCTGCAGATTTTTTTCTCTTATCAGGCTGTTGTCTGGCGCTCTCTCATCTGTAGCGCTCTCTCGCCTCATACTCTCCTCTCCGCGCTTAGTCTCTCATTCCCTTAGCACAGCCGATTAGGAAGGTGAGTGAGCCCTTAACCTAAGCGTTTTCGACGGATTCTTTTCCTTTTTTCTTTACTGCCGGCCCATTTCGCACCAATACATTTGTTGCATTAGTGTTGCAAGAGCCACACCAATGTGATCCTGGGGCAAGCCTTTGAATGTCACTTTCGCTCATAATATAAAATCTTAAAAATGTAAACCTTAAATAAGCATCTCTGGTCAAAATTGTTTTTCTCAGACAACGAAAATTCATGTTTTCATTTTCGCATTTCTACTGACGTCGCTTGCATGGTCAATAGGTATGAAAAATTCGGCGCGATCGAGGAATGTTTGTCTTTTCGCGACCGAACAAACAACGATTCCAAGTGTTAAAACTCCGAACCACCGTTCCTCTATAACATATGGTTAGCACAGAATGGACACCCACTATACTCCTTCGACAAACAAAAAACAACGAAAAAGGATTGGAAATTCATCGTAAAGTTCAAACCTGATGAATGTAAGCCTTAGCCTTGTACCCGTCTTTGCGGTATTTAGCTAGAAAGGTCTCAAATGTGCCAGATTGTCGGCAGTAGGCCGCATCCGAGGCATCTTGGCAACGAAATGACAGCTTTTCTCCTGAAATACAAACACATCCAACAGTGAGAAGATTCAGGACAAAAAAATATCCTTTACATCTTCTCAGGTACATAAATCGAACGCAAAACCGATTTTTCCTGGATTATGAACACACCTATAGTTTTTCTCAGAATTTACGCTCTGTGACTTTCCTCCTCTATTCTCGTGTAGTATACGTTTCGCCTTCCTTTTACTAATACAAAGCATTGCCCCGCCCACCCATTACAGAGTATTTACCTCTTGCGAAACTCACTCGTATAGAGTGGTTTTGAGGTCAGTAAAGTTACCAAATTCCTTTTGTGGAAGGAAACATTCGAAGAATGAAAAGGGAGAGAATTGGGAATGGAGGGCGGTGTCAGCAGCGCGCTGTGTCAAGTGTTGCCAGCCGAGAGAGATCGTACTAGGTCAGCGGAAAGGGCGAGATTTGCGGAAGCGCGAATCCCGTAAAATTTAAAAGTAAGCATAGTAAAGGATAACGGGACGAGTGCATGGCGCGTGCCACATCGGAAGTGGTCATTCGAAACGCCTCATCTCTCAACGAGCATGGTGAAAGACCCCTTCCGAAGGGAACCTGATGATAGATTTACATACTAGTAATACATATAAAGCGCAATGAAAATCAGAAGAAAATCCCGGCAAAAGAAAGCTCACTAGTAACAAGTTCTTAGAAGTGGTAAGTGAAGACACCACGATCAGCTGTAGTGTGATTTTTTTAAGGTTTTCAACGCTTTCCAGAAACAAGGAAGCAAAGCTGTGACCATTCAAAAGTTGAAAGCTGTCATATTGAGAAGCAACCAAAAATTAGGGAAAATCAAACAGAACGAAATGTTTCATGAAAGAACAAGCTTCGAGGCACGCTTAATGGGTATATTTCGGAACCCCTAATTTCGTGCTTCCTTTAATCTAAGAGGTTGCAAGCACTTGCTTCCAGCATCAGAAGCCTGAATGCGTGTTGTGCACAAAGAAAGCGCAGCGAGGCGATAGTTCGAGAGTTTCAAAAGTTCCTAGGTAGCGAATAATTTGAGAGCTCGAGCCTTCTTACCACTTTGGAACAATATATTCGATTAGAGTGCTT